CTTAAGCAAGCGCTACAGAGTACAGTGAACTGGCCCTCAGCCAGAATTTAATAAACACATTTCTGTTGATAAGGTTGCTATTTCATTATCTTGTGAAATTTGTACCCAACATAGTCAGTCAACCGTTCTATTAAAAATTAAAAAAATTAATTTGAAAATCTGCTGCTACACAAAATTACATTTTTGTAATACATATTTTACTTGCCTTATTACATTTCTTTAATAAAGAGATTTAAATAAATATACCATTCCCGATTTTCTCTAGTAAAACAATGTTTTTAAGACGGATCTAATTTCTTTAAAAGTCATACTAACAATTCTACTTAGTCCTAAGATCACATTTTTATGGGGCAAGGTGGGGGAGCTAGCTGCCAGGATATTTCGCAGTCTAGCAGTAAAGCTGCCATTCGAGGCCACGTGCAAAGGCCAAATTCCGCGTGTGCTGCCATTTCTGTGGCTATATCTCCGGCTGTCCCGACTTTGTGTCCTAGCTGTGCATTAAATGCCACTCAGCCAGCCGGCTTTAGTTTCACTCATTTTCCAGGGCTTGGTTATGTGACAGGGGGGTGGGCGGGGCATTTCGGAGGGGCGGGAAAATGGAGCTGCATACTTTTGCAGCAGTGCGCTCCACTTGGCGTGCGGCATGCCACAACGCTCGGGATCTGGATGGCAATGCAACGGAGCGGCGACGATGATGATGACGATGCCACAGTGTTGCGTCATGTAAAAGATAAACAAGTCGACATTTTGACAACCTAAAAAAGTATAAAAAAGAGCGAGTGAAAACAAAAAATCCGGTGCGGAATGAAAGAAGACAGCAACGGACAACGACGACGACGCGGACGATGGGTAAAAAACAAGATGGAACAATGGATGATGATGGCTCCATGGCGAGGACTCCATGAAAGTCGCCCATCAAATAATCGAAATCAACTTTCAACTTCCAACTTTCTGGGTCCTGCAATTTATATGCAAATTTCATTAAGGAAAATGCGGATGTTTCGGGGGCGGGGGCTAAAATATCCGCTGCCAGCTTTTCTGCCCCGCGAAAGTAATTGAAACGAGAAATATGCATTTGACCAGAACTTTCCCGCTCCAAAACGCCTCAACTTCTTTGCCGCGACTCAACTAATGTAATTTAAAATGGACGAGTGGCAAATTACTCGGCCATTGCGGACATTCCGCACATCCGCAAACCCCCTCAAGATCCGACGACAGTAAAGCCAAAGCGCAGAAAAAAAAACACGCAAATTACCCCGACGCAAATCCCTTAAAAAAATGGCTCAAAATAAATTGTGTGGGCGTTGCGTAAATTTGGTTTTCATTTTTTTTCTGCTCCGGACAGGATTGGCTGGGATTAATTTGTAATTCAAATTTATTTCGGAATAATGGTTAATTGGGTGGTCGGCGACGATCTAAAAAGGCCGAGGATCGACGTTGATTGGAAGAACAAATTGAGAATGTTATAAGAAAAAGGCTGAAAAAGGTTATAATATTTTACAAAAGAGTAAGTTACGTTGGGATTTTCTTGAAAAATGTTTAGAAATGTTTAAAGAAAATTTATCTTAAAGTTGTACAGCATCAAGAAAAGTTTGTACTTCCTTTTACTTTAAGCTATAAGCCACATAAATTTAAAAAGTTGTTTATTTGCTAAAGATTTTAGTTATATTATTACAATATTTCAAGTGAATGAAATAAATTCCACATTTTGCCTTCAAAAATTCTTATTTGACTTGAAGTAGGTATCATTAAATCAATAGAAAAATTGAGCTTAAATTTTATGCCGTACTTCAACCGAATATCTCAATTTGTTTCTCCTATTGAAATCTTTAGCTTTGTCTTGATTTCACCCCCCTCCTCTTGAAATTAACATTTATATATTTCTGAAGCATACTCAGCCAAACTCGGCAACTTTATTTGAATCACATTTTTGTGTTTGTGCAGCAAAGTTTTAGCAACTTTTTTCAGAGAGTGTTGCTTCTATCTGAATCTGAATGCCTCGATATAATTGCAGATTACAAGCCACCAGCCCGTTTCGATGGAAACATGCCAACCTTGGTAGCGTAGCAACCAACCTCTTTTTCCCCTTTCCATTTTCCATTTTCCGACCAGCTTTGATGGTCTCATTTTCCAGCCGCAGCCTCTCCAATCGTAGAAAACTTTTTGTGTGCGTTTTTCTCGTGTTTAATGTTTTATGACGTACTCGAAAAAAACGCAAAAAAGAAGGAAAAATGTAAAAAATATGTATGGCTAAAGAGAGAACACTTCAATTTTTGTTTAAATGCCAATAAAACTGTCATCAAAAAGTTGTTAAGTAATGAAACATTGAAAATAAATGTGTGCACCGACTGCGGGAAGTCTCTTTTGCCCTCCTTCAATCTTGGTCGCTTTTTTTCTTTTTACTTGTTTCCCCGACCATCGAAGCAAACTTTTGCCTCTGGCAATTGTTCAAGAATTAATAGCCGAAATGCTGCATTCTGTGGGGTGGGGCACTTACAATTTAAGCTGCTGCCAGCCACCCACCCACCACATTGTTGCACATTTACTTTTTGCAGCATATCAAGTCAGCGCATAAGTTTTCCATATTTTTTTCACTGGCCATCCAGCAGCACAAAGAAAAAATATTAATAAAAAGAAGCTATATTTTGACATAATTTATTTTTTGGGTAATAATATAAATATGGATCTGAATATTCTAAATAAAAATCTTTATTTCCATATTAAAATTGGCAGTATAAATTAGTTAGATTATACTGATAAAAGCATTCACATATTCTACGATAAAAAAATCAAGCAATAGTACGGATTTTAACTTTTATTTATTTACATTTATATATTGAGAATAATGTTTTTTATTTCGCTGTTAACTAATAATAATAGTTTTTTATTCTTTACACACATAAGAAATAATTTTTTTCCTTTTAAAATAATGTATCAACGAATATTAATAAAGGCAGTCAACATGTCGTTATAAAAAATGTAACTTTTTCGTTTTAAATGGATTTTTTGACACCCCTTGGGATACTGCATCGATTGCCAGTTTTTCTCACTGCATCGATATTTTCATATTCTTGGTTCAGTTATTTTTTTTTCGTTTTCCGTTTGGTGGGTTGAGCGTTTTCTTTACGTTCCATTATTGTTGTTAAAAAAGTTTGGCCCCCGCTCATAATTCCCGATTGGTCTTTTGTTCAATTGTAAATCTGCGGGGTGTTGGGCTGGTTTGGGTGCTCAGGGGTTATTTCAGGGGGGTATTCAGCGGGACGAGTTCGCACTTGTTTTACGCAACATTTACTGTGGCATTGGACTCATCTTCGGTGAAAAATGGGTGGCCAGGCACCCACTTCGCCGTAGCTCGGACTTGAACTCTCTCGTGTACTTTTGGACTCAAACGTCTGTTTTACGCTAATTGGAAAAGTTGCAAGTTTTTTGCCCTGCTTTTTACAGAGGGACCGAAGTGGCAGGGGAGCCGATTTGGGGATTTCACTTGTTACGATGTTAGGCCCGTGCGGTGTGTGGCTTTTATTGGAGGCAAATTGCTTGGAGCGATGCTTATTAGCAGCTGACACGGTTGCCTCATCATCAAAGTTGCGGCCTAAACTGCGAGCGGATAAAATGAAAGTACGTATATAAAATAATCACAAGACAAACGACCAGACTTTCATACTTTTAAATTGGCCATTAGCCCGCTTTCGCGAGAATCTCGGCTACGCCCCACCAGGATCAGCTTAGGCTTAAGCCCCTGCATCCTGCTCTCTATTTGTAATTATAATAAACAAAAATGACTTTATATTTTGAAGGATGTTTCTGCATCCGCTGTTTGCTGTTTGCTCTCGTCGCGCCATAATCATCAAGAGCTCTTCTCAACGGCTTTGTTTATGCGGCTTTCTAAATTGTGATTTTTAAAATAGTGGTTCCTGCGACTAAGCTGCTTTGGAAATGTTTCCTAATACAGTTATTTAAATCTGTTAAGCGTCTTCGAGCGGATTTGCATTGTTTTATTTAGTTATAGCATTATATTCTATTCTTGAACTATATATCATTTTAAAAAGTTTCAGCAGTTAGAGATAAATGATATTATAATATCCCCTACAATATTTTATCTTTTCAATTATTTAATGTTTAGGAATTATTAAATAGATTTTTGGATATGAATAAACAAATCTGCAAAAACCACTTTTAAAGTACACACATTTTGAAGTTTGAGTAGTAAAGTTTTTGGTTCGAAAATGTCATCTTTTGGTCTATTTCAAACGGCTGTTTTTCTGAAAACTCCAATGAGGTGTAATAACCTAAGCCTATTAAGTGAGCAAAGGGTTTTGTTCTGCCGCCGCGCTGCTCGCACATGTATAACGTAGAACAGCGGTCTGCACACACACATCGATGAGCTGCCCAGTGCAAATTACTCACATAAATATAAAAGAAAATGTCAACGTATGTGTGTGCCGACCGCTGACCTAAGCCGATGATTTTTTGAAGTACAAAACCATTTCGGAAACCTTTCGAAAATCGATTTCAAAAACTTTAGGAGGAAATTTTAAAATGATCTAAAATTATTCCATTAAGCTAAACTAAGCTTTATGTTATTAACATTGGAATGTGGAATTGTTGATTAAACTCCACACAATGCAAAATAAAAAAATAAATAAAAAGATAATTTATTTTGAAATCCGATTTCAATGGGCCAGTACGGCAAAACGGCAATTATAAAAAAATTGGGAAATTTCTCTCAAAATATTATCCCGAATTCTCGCTCTGCATAAACCCGAATTTGGCAAATACTACGAGAGTCCTTCGCGTGTTGTGTCTGATAACTCTGCCTTCCAGGCTCAAACCGAAGTGCGCCTGCGCGGTGAGCGGAAATAGGGGGATATTTTCTTGAACAAGAACAAAAACAGGCGAATATCCCGCAAATCGGAGCGATATATGTCCGTTCTAACTGGCAAAAGGTCTATGCAGCGACGGCGGCAGCAGGTTAGTTCAGTCTCTTGCCTTAAATGGCCGCGTGCGGCAGACAAAAGCGCATGAAAAATTCATTGGGATCCGTCGGAACCGAAAGTTTAACGTCAGGACAGCGACAAAAACAACAAGAACAACGAGGAGCAGAGGCACTATAGCATATATAGCATAGCGAGTGCTAGTCCTAAACGTCTATCGTTAGGTGTAACGAGGTGTGTGCCCCTGTGTGTGTGAGTGCTCCTGTGCGAAGGCATTTGTGACTGTGTCAGTGGCGTTGTTATAAAAACACAACAAAAATTGAATGCCGAATTGAAAGTGGTTGACAGGCAACTGGAAAAACAACAGCATTGGCAATAATGTCGAGTGTCCTTTCGGCCAAGGCAAAGTGAAAGCAATACTCACCCGAAAAATAGAGAAAAAATATGCAGGAGCAAAACAACTAGCAATTGCCGAAAGTTTATTATTTTACCATTGATTTCGAAGCAAATAAACTGCGCAACAATTCCAAAAATATATTGTGCTAGGATGGGAATTTTGGGCAGGCTGTGGAGTGGGGGTTACTCGCAGGACATCAAACGTTTAAATACAAATTAGTTGGGCATGTGTTCCAATAAATTTGATTTCTCCCCCTTATTGCCTTCTCTTTCGGACCCACATCGTCCTGTCTCTTTCACTGTTGAATTTTCAACAACTTTTTGGCATGTGGCATACTTTGGGGATTCGTCGAAATTAATTCCCGAAGTTTTTGCTTTTTGTTTCGATGTATTTTTTCCTTTTTTGTGGCTTATTGGCAGCGAGTTCATTTTCCAGGCTCTGATTTTGGCCCTGACCACGTTTGGTTAATTAAGCTACCGAAGTCGCCGAAGTGCGATTTGAAGTCGGCTTGATCGGACGTTGATTAAAAATAAAAGTATATGACACCGTCAAGGTTTCGGCGGAAGTTAAATGGGAAAACTTTAATTGCCAAGTACGGTCGCAAAAACTTTTTCGAGCTGGTGGACAAATAGGTTGCAGTTGTATTCAAAAATTACTTTTAATTTAAAGCCGATAAAGTTTCTCAGCAAGTTTTTCACAGTCAGTCGAAAACAGTTTCTTGAGAAAAAGCTGCGAAAAATATATTGTTCCAAAAATACTTTTTGCTTAATCTTGAATTTTAGTTTTCACAGAAATCACTAGCATTTTTTTATATCAATACAAAGGTATCGAAAAGTTTGCTACATTATATTTTATAGTCCCTTGCAATCTTTATAGCCCCCAAACCAGAAAAAACAATGTTAATATTAAACATTTGCAACGCATTTCATGTTTGATTAAACTTTTTATTACCTATTTATTATTTATATCCTTGCAAATTTATGGTTTATATTAGAAAAGGGAAACTTTAAGAAAAGCTTTAATGTCTTTTCTGCATTCAAAAATTCTATTCCATAATTAAACAGTAATTCCATTTTATTACATTTGAAAGTTTCACAAACCATTTTTACACATTACAAATTGATGTCCTAAAAAGTTGGCAAGCGCTGCTGTTAGCAAAAGATTAGAAATGTGTATGTGCATAATTTTAAATTTTACTATTATGGTAATACTTTAAAATATATAAAATACAAAAATATATTAAAATGAATAAAAAAAATGCAAATATGCTCAAACAAAATAAACGAAAACGAAGTCGGAATACATTTAAAAAAGATTAAAGTTCTCTTTCTATTTGGTGAGTCAGCTTAAAATGGCACGAATTTATTTGGCAATAGGAATGAAAAAAAGGAAATAAAAATGAAATCACCCAAAACCAATTTATATTACCTTTATTTATTTTATTAATAAGATGAGAAAATGATTAGAAACAACAAATGTAACAATCCAAAATGTATAACAAACAATATAAAATCACAACAATTGTTATTAGCCAATTTAATTTATTTATTTTACAGAAAAGTTATTAACTCAATTATATTTTCCATTTCGATTTTATGTCCTGAATAAACAGATTCCGCTTCCGTTCCCTACTCCAAAATCAAATGATGCTCGAGGGAAGCAATAAAAGTTGTTTTCCATTTGTTGCTACTTATCGGATGTCAAAAAAGCCCCAATTAATTAATGATTTGATTAGCGCATAAAGTGTCACCATTTTGGGGAAATTTCAATTTACCGAACCCAATTCCGAGAGATTTTACAAATTTATGACCACCGAAAAGTAGGCAGCGTCGATGAAATTTTAATGAAATTAGACCGGCGACCGATTTCCGCAATTTTCAATTGTAAAACGGCTATTCAGGAGCAATTCAGGGAATGGAATGGCGATAGAGTGGCCTCGCCGCAGTTTATGGCATTTTAATCATTTAAGAACGCTCTTGCTCTTTGCAGTCAACATGCAAATTGCCTGCGCCGGACCCGGACACCGGACCCAGGACCAGGATCTGCACCAGCCATCCTCCTCGACGTCGTCATTACCATCGGCATCACCAACATCATCATCATCATCGGAGGCAGTGGAACGCAAACGCACCGAAGAGCCAACAGGGGCGCAATAAAAATTGCCTATAAATGGGCGGAAGTGCCAGAGGCAGGGGGGTTGCTGAGCAGGATGTGCTACGCACAAGGACGATGAAGGAGGGGGAGGGGGAGGGGGGCGACAAACAGGAGCACAACAAAGCCAAACTTCCGCATAGGATGCGCCCGAACGGAAGTTATTTTGGCCGCCTGAACGTGAGCGCGCTGCTCATCTACTTGTGGTGCTATCTGCTCCTGATAATGGCAGCATCTGGCGGCAGCAGCAGCAACGTGGTAAACGGCCTCAAATGCTACTGCAATCCGAAGGAGTGCGACGTAATCCGCTCGCCCGACTGCCCCGGCAAAGGACTTATGCTCTGGGATCCCTGCAAGTAAGTCGCCGCTCCCAGCACTCCAATTAAAAGGATATTTTCCGGCATGCGAATAGGAGTACCCAATGTACCCAAGCCCCTCGTGAATTTATCATCAATTTTATGGCCAGAATAATTTGATATTCGGTTTTATTTCTACCGTTTTATTTCAATACTTTGCGCAAATTTTGCGTGTATTTTAAATTCATTCGCTTTAGCTACTCACTTTAAACTTTCAAGGTATGAGCAGAGTTCTCTTTTCACCTATATTTTATTAGCTTTAATAACTTTCACTTATTTGCATATGGATGTTTGGTTATAGGGAAATTTAAATTCAATTTTGTGTGGGTATGGAATGCTATCTACATTTAAGTACTTTTAATTAAAAAAAAGCTCAAAGACTAATTTGGTTTTCTTTTAGAATTTTTTTTCTATCCATCTAATCAATTAATAGATATTGCGAACCTACCTACACAGCATACTATTATTTTAATTGCTGAAATAAATTGGAGAACTTTCTGCCATGTAAAATTTAACAAAGCTCAGTTGTTGTGTTTATTTAACCTACAAATGTGTGCTACATATTTTTATTACATTAACGTGGATCGAAACAATAGAAACAATTTAATTGTGCATTATTCTGAAGCTTAGCTGATTACCGACACAATTATACAACATTTTTATTTCGCTTTTATTCACAAATTATGCAAATGTTTTCTTCCCTTGTTATTCCTTTATTTATTGTCAACATTAAAATCAAGTTATCATAACAATTTCTGTGGTTTTACAAATATTGTTCAGTTTATATGTGTTAATAATTAAATTTTAATTGGCTAGACCAGGAAAAAAATAAGCCACCATTAAAAAAAAGTATATTACTCCTAATTTTATTTTTCACACCTCATCTGATTACATTAAAAAATTAGGCAATAATTATTTATAATATTTTCTTTTTAATATACATTTATTTTTATTTATTGTTATGTTTAAATTGTCTTAATTTAAATAATTTAGTGTGCAAATTAGTTGTTTCTTTAAAAAACATTTTAATTTTACGAACTTTTTTAATAAAGAGAGAACCTGTCACGAATTCTTAACCACACTGTGACCTTAATAATTGGCAATGATATAATTAAGAGAGTCAGGCATCAGAGTGCCTCGTCTAAATTCCAATCCAATTCGCCTCGTGAGTCACGTTCTGCTTAGGAATTCACATCAGGCACCCGCTCAACCACCCACCATTCACAATAGAGAGTGTTAACTAATTGTTAACGCTTATCGAATCCAAGACGGAATCGAATCAATTACTACTGGGATTCATCCGTTCATTCCGTCTCTATACCGAGGATTATGCCCATTTATATATATGTCATATACGTCCAACTATTCGCAGATGTTGTCGCATATGCGCCAAAACTTTGGGCGAATCCTGCGGCGGCCCGGGCGGATTTTCCGGTCAATGTGAGCCGCCCCTGCAGTGTGTGACCAAGCTGCCCATTAGCAGCGGATTGGGCGTGTGCATGGGTAAGTCGATAGAAATATATATACACTAAATAAACTGGGACAAATTTTTTATTGATAATACACGAAAATGGTGGGAAATTTGTTATCAGGTCTTTATGAATCTGAAAAAGCATAGGCGAAATTTACATAAAATGTTAAATGTTTTCAATATCTGATTTAATTTAAATAAAATTATGTGTAATTATAGTAGGTATTTTCTAGTACTTTCCATTTTTGCATTTATAAAACAATTGAATTTATTTTGAATTATAAAATCTACTAACTCTATTTTAATTATGCCGAAATGGAAAATACTAGCTAGCTAAAACTAATTTGCCAAGTACCAAACAATTTGTATAATTTAATAAATAGGAAAATTAGACAATGAATTCTTAATGCTGTGAACTTAATTCGAAGACCATTTAAAAACAATATAGATCATACTAGTTTTCAAAATATTTAAAAAAATTGTGATTTTTTTGGAACCCTTAAATGTTTTAGAAATAATAAAACCAAGAGAGTTTTGTTTCGAGTGTATATTTTGCACATATAAAAAGTAAGAGGGGAAGGAGCGGCGGCACCAGCTAGCGGGTTATGGTTATGGAGCATTTGTATTTAGTCGCATCCATTATGCATTAACATCACGTATTATAGACCACAGAGCCCTCAAATGATATGTCCGCAACCAGTTCGGAGCGCTTCAGCAATTTGAGTCGCATTTGCCATTTGGCCTGCGGAGCTCCTGGCGGGAATTCGTCCGAATTGAATGTATAGTTGCGGATCTCGTACAGTTTTCCCTGCATAATTCGATGGCATTGGCGTCCATTCGGTTTTTGTGTGTAATCGTGTTTGGGGAATTAATGCGTGTCCCCGGCCGAGCGGCAATTTGAAAATGAAAATGGAAAATGGTAAATGGGAAATGGTAAATGAAATAACGGCAGAATGTTGTTCAAATTTAACTAGTTCTGCTCGTCGGGAGTGCCACAACACGAAATGTTGACAAATATTTGCTTTTATTTATTGAAAGTTGCCTCCCAAAGGAAAATATTTGTCCTCCTCATGCTGGGCAGGGGCAAAGTTTTGCCATCGAGCTACGAGCTACTAGCTAAAAAACAACGGAAGTCCTATTTCATTAAATTGCTTTCTCCGTTTGTTGTCATCGAAACATATTTATTCTGTTTTAGTTTCGACAAGTTTGATAAACTCAAATCAACTTGTTTCGGTACAATGCTGAAGTCAAACTTCTCTAGCTGTTAAATTAACTTTTGAGCAACTGAAAAAAGGTGGACAAAATATAGAACAAAAAATAAGAAATTTAAATTTAATTAAACATTTTTTAATTACATTAAAAAACGACTAAACTGACTAAAACATTTCAGAATATGAGTACTACCATTTGTATTTATAAAAATTTAATAAATTGTATAGGAAAATAAAGAAAAACACTTCAACCATTATTCAATAAAAAAATATTGTAAAATAAATTTTCATAATTTTTTGAAAGTTTAAATCAATAAATTTGCTTATGTAACTCACCTTTGGAACAGGACAATTACTTGGCAAGTTGCTGACAGACTTGAGCCTTTTGAACAATTTACCAATAATATTGTTTTGGTACATCGCCCCCAAGTACTTGCAGCCATCCATTTTGATATCGGCTATATTCATGCGGGTATTGTCCTTCTTTAACAAATCGAATACTGCATATATATCGAAGTGATCCAGTGTTTGATTCAAACTGAATCTGGCCGATATTACGGGAGTTCGTTTCCGCAACAGCTGACAGTCCACTTCATTCACATATTTCCAGGCTATAATTTTGCACTCCAAGGATCTTATAACAATATCGTAATTATTCTGGCGGGAAAAACCAATTTTTCACAATATTTTTTCTTAATTAGTTCGAACAAACCTTTGCCAAACCGATTTGCAGGGGAAGAAGTACGACCAAAAATGAAAAGCGGGCAAACATTTTGCCCAACTAAACCGGAAAATGCAAATGGGCTCGGCTTATATAGGCCGCGACTAATTTAAAATAAACGTCATCATAATCTCTTTTAATCTCGCCGAGAATCAAAGTTCATTTTCGGGGCTTAATGAACATTTAATATGAGTATTAATGCCCACCAACAGTTTTTCTCCTTTCATCGATTTGGTGTTAATAACTTTATTTGTACAATCTGTTTTTTTCATAGATTTGCAGCACCTGACCGCCCTGACCTACAGTCAGCACGATAATTGTTCGGACAGCGATTCGATTGTTTTGCAGCCGGGCTGCGAGATTACCAACAAACGCTGCCAGTGCTGGCCCACAATGCGCACCTGTCTCAGCGAACTGACCAGCGATGGGGGATCTCCCAGCGATTCCCGTTGGCACTTCAAGAACCTAGAGGTTGGTAAAAAAAAACAGAAACCTCAAATTTATATTTTAATATTATATGGCAATTTCCAGGACTGCCAGTTGAACTTGCAAAATCTAATTAAACTCGAACAGGAATTCGATGAAGACTACAAAATCTCACCGAGCAAATTCACATACAAAAAGCTGCGCAGAAAGCGAAAATCGTTAAGAAAACGCATGTGAGCATAAGAAAAATTATTCTTTAATTTTTAAATAGAGTAAATAGTTTAATAACGAATTTTCCTTTACTTTCAGCATCATTTTGAAGGATTGAGACTTCAATGCGCCATTGAAAAGTCATCCTCTTTCTCAGCTCTTAACTCAACAAAACCAAATTGAAAATCTCTGTACAGATAGTATGCTTACTTCTAACTAATAATATGGCTATTATAAATAACATATACATATATATATATAACAACGTATACATATACAAGAGGAAAAATACATATGAGAAATAGAACGAATTGTATGTATCCCAAGACATTTGTTACTTTATTGTTTTTAGAGTGCGCGTACGTATGTATAAATTTGCAATTTTTATTCCTATTGCCCCCCCAAAAAAACCAAAAGAATATACAAAACAATAAATGGAGAGCATTTCAAGAGTGTTGTTGCTTTAAAAATAACAAATACAAAATGTGCAAAATGTTGGAATTTTCCATAAGCATAAGTCAAGCCATTCAATAAACAATAAATCCGAATGACAAATTTTGCATGAAAAAGCATCGAAAATATATAAGTGGCCAGAAAAAAATAAAGAGTTGGTTTTATTTTTATGATTCGATTGGGCACGGCGAGAAACTGTCGTTATACAAAAAGGGGTTAAATTGATTGGCACCTATGTATCTGTAGTTTAATATTGTAAGTATTGTTACACCGACCAATATAAAAAGTTTTATTTTTTTTTTATTACAAAGCTTTTATTTTACATAACAAAAAAAATGTCTCCAATTCTTGTTTCTAGTGCAACTCTAAGTAATACCCGTAAGGGTAATATATATCCTGATTTCTGGTCTTACAGAAATTGCGTATACGCCTCGCGTGCCAATGTACTGGCAAAGTATTAAAAATGTTGCAGGCACATTTTACATACTTTTGGGCGCTCTCCGGTAAAAAGTATGCAACATTTTAAAAACGTGTAGAAACGGTGTTGAATAGACATGTAGAATTTGAGTGTTCAGCTGATAGGCGCTAGGTGTCGCACAAAAGCAAATGCCTGATCTGGCAACTCTTCGCTGGAAATTTGAAAAAATAGATAGATATATTTATAATTTAACAATTTAATGTTTAAATAGAGACTAAATAGAGAGAATCTTATAAAAATGGTCCCATCACGGAATTGTATACTAGATCTGCTACTCATTAGTCGAGACTCAATGGGTTATATTACGTCGAACCAACCACTGAAATCTGAAAACAGTATTACCCTTATATTTTTAATGAACATAATTAGACGTCGATTTATATGTGAAATCGATTTTTTAATCCAAGTCTCAACGTGTTTCAATAAAATATTTATTTATTTAAATAACTACCAACTACCAAAACATCACAAAAACACAAACAACTAAAAACCTAAAATAAGTTTAACAAGCGAACGAGAAAACTCCCTTAAAATTACTTTGTAACATCTACGAATTCAGGAAACCACTGACTCACCTGCCCTGTTTTGAAGACCTAAGAACTACCAGAACCAGGCGATTGAGGCAGCACTTGGAAAGCCAAAACGCAAAGGGGTTTTGCCCCAAAAACATCGACCATCAACGGCAGTCGAGTGGGGTCAGTTCTTCATCTTGAAAAGATCAAAGATACACTTTGGCGCTTAAGTGTTTTCCTCATCGCCACCTATCAGCTGAAGGAGTTCGAGATATTTGTTTCGCTTTTCGAATTGAGTTGTTATATATTTCTGTGCTGTGGCTCCGTGCACTCGAGTTCGTTAGGCACCTTAGTGGAGCAAACAAAAGCAATTAGACGGCGTCATCTGACAGCCTCAATGGAATAGTTTTCGGGGCGAATGCCTGAGGAATGCCGGCGAGCATTTATCGATCGCCCTCTGATGGGATGTCCAACTGCCAATGAGACCGTAAAGGCTTGAATAAAAATAAGTGAAATAAAAAAGCAAGAAATGTGGCGAGGGGGGGCCACTGTGTCCAGGGCGGAGAACAAAAGGGTTCGAGTGCGGAGGAGTGAGGTGTTAAAAATTCTACTCTTTATGCTCCTATTATGATTTGACTCGCTGCTTGTAGACTTTGATGGACGTTTACGATAGGAAAAATCTCTGCTTGTGCACTTGCAAAAAACACTGGAATACTTGTTCAATTTTAATGGTTTTATTTTGACAGTTCTCATAAAGAAAATAAATATTATTATAAAATAAAAATATGCTTTCAAAAGAAAATATATTTTCTTAAATGTTAATAAGCCTAAGTAAAAGCATATTAATTATAATAATGTTGAAACTTAAATAATCTTCAATATTATAAATTAAATTTTTTAATAAAATCAAATATTTGTATTATTGCAATTCTTCTCGAAAAAATAAATATATATAAATATATAAATAAATATAAATATCATATACTGAGAATTCCTACAATTTTACCATTTCTTCCAGTATTTTATATGTGCGTGGAGCTTTATATATCTTCTCAGCTTTTGTCTCACTTGTTTGACAACCGATGCGTACAAATCAAAGCAGGAATCCAGAGTCAGAGGCCCCGAGTTTCGAGCCCCAAGCACCGACTCGTCTGTTGTTTGATTAATAGCCGCACAATTGATATGTTAAGTGGTAAATTACGCCATTGGCACGCAAATGTATCTTCAAGATACATACATGCGTTTGTGTGTAGACAAAAAAGTGGGCAAATTGTTGTTTGTTTAAGGCGCCGCTTTGGATGGAGATAAAAATCTCGGAGCTGCGCTATCGAAACTCGGGAAAGGCGGAGCCTAAAGTGCGTAAAGTGATTTAATTTTGAATGGACGTCGGAGAAAGTCCATCAAACACACTCACTCAATTATTCAATTATTTGGTTGACTTTTCCCCCCTCTTTTATTTTTTGGGTGAAGAAAAGCTGGGCATATTTTACCAGGTTCGTTGGCTTAAATTAAAACCCATTAGTCTACTTTTAACACGCTTTCAGGGAGTCTCGGGTTGTTGTTATTTTTATGGTCCCGTTTATATGTTTAAATAAAGCGAAAAACAAAACCGAATCGAGGCGAACAAAAAGTCCATTAAAGCCTTTTCGTATATTAGAAAAGCGAAACAATGGGGAGGGAGTTCGATTGATGTCATTAAATTTTTGCCACGCCATAAAATTCATCGCATTTTGTTGTTGTTTTATTGAAAAGCCGCCGTGGAAGTGTTATAAAAATCATTTAAAAGCCGAGATGGCCGTAGGTTTGATGATTTTTTTGTGGTCTCTGTTTTGCTTTTACTGCACGAAGGCTTCGCTCATGCTCAACTAAAATGATTTAATTTCGAAACGTGCCTTGCAAATTTTATGATCAATTTTCGCTTTAAATATAGATTGAATGCCTCGTCGAATTATTTAAATGCGGCTCTGGCTTATTTATTTATTCCGTTCTTTTGTTTTTGCCTTGTTTCGGATATCATGTGACGAAGGTGCTTTAGTGGAATGCAAAAGTGAAGGAGGGAGCAGCTTTTTGATGATCAGCAACGGATTGAAATATTGTAAATTTTATGGATTTGATTTACGATATTTTAATAGAACAGTGATTTATGACCGGTAAAATAAGACGTGTATTTTATTTCATTTTAGGGAGAACATTCTTAATCACTAAATTATTTTTAACAGTATAATAATAATAAAAGTTTTTTATTTTTGTTATATAAATATAAATAATGTTTTTAGTACTGTGAATACATTATATTTTCCCTATTTTTCCCCCCTTTACATAATTAAATAAACGATCAATATTATCGCCCATTAAGAGTCCATCTACTGCTCCTGTGAATATCAATCTTATTTTGCTAATTCGATTCCGATTCTCTTGATTGTTTGGCCCATCAAAGCCGATGGAGTTGACTTCATTTCCATTTCTATTGAGGCATTGATCTCGCGTTCGGCCTCTCTGAATCATAAATAAACTGTGGCAAATTCTCTAAGCCAACTCGCTGAAGGCCCATAAATTATAAGGCGAAGACCAGCAACTAAGGAGGCCAATGTGGTTGTTGTGTCATTTTCTCGGCGCGCTTAATAAACTACACACACTTTATGCGATCTGTGGTTCCTGTTGTTGCGGCCTGCCGATTGCTGTTATATGATTTCATATATCATCGGAGCCAAGGAGAAACCTCCTTCTCCTTGTTCTTTTTTTATTTTTTATTTCGCAGAGTTCAGAATGCGCAGGCGTGCGGCATTTAGTTCAGCCTGTCGACTCTCGATTGTCCCTTCCTTTGCTTGGGCCCCCGATTCACCAGATTCTCCGCTTTAGCTTGTTTGTATATATACTTTTTTGTTTGATAACATTTTATTGTCCGCTTTATAAATTATTGGCGTTTGCCGGGGACTCGGAATCGGGTTCGGGTTCGGAAACGGGGCAAAAAGTATCCTTTTACGTTCTGCGTTTTTGGTATGCGACATGTGTCCAAATTTGTGCAGCATACAAATAAATACTATGGAAAAATACTTCGGAATGGTGGATGATACCCTGTAAAGCTGTAAGGATGGGTTCAAAAATTATTAAATAAATAAGTAATTAAATTTAATAAAAATTTATTTTAAAATCGAAGGTAATACAATTTATAATGTATTTTTTAAATTAAACCTAAAGGGTATTTAAAGGACACAACTATAGCTACTGTAGACCCGAGTAACCGACTTGATTTTATAATTTTTCTTAGTTTTTTCCTCTGCCCAGTTGAGTCTGCGCGTGTTTTGGCCTTTTAGGGCGCTTTGGCCCTAAAACAGACAATTGAGTGTAGTGTGAAAGTTGCTTTAAATACTCTCGGTATCGGTATCGAGGCGTTCCGATGCCCCGATGCCGAAGGCGACGATGCCGACGACTTGTGATGGAATGGGGCTGCCACCAAATCAAACCATTTATGTCTGGCTCATGCGACACATTTATCATCGTCAAGTAAAACAAAGCTCACCTGCACCTGTCTGCTGCTTGAAGAGAACGAGAACGAGGTTCTTTCGAGGGGAAGTTGATTTTAGGGGGAGGGATCTTTAATTATACATTTTATACAAGGCACACCCGCTGGGCTGTATGGGGTTCCACTGCTCAAAGTCAAAGCCTTCTAACTGGAGCCCGGTAATGAGCTGGGGCCCTGCACTGCCAGCAACTGAATAACTCATATAGATTGGGAACAATGGGAAATCTGTCCGGTATCCGTGGCATCCCATTATAGCCCTCGATTTATATATGTA